AAAAAAAAATCACACATTATTAGGAATTTTTTATTTATTTATGGGGGCGTGTGTGTGGTCAACAGAAGCAGAGTCCCGCGGCCTCCGAGAGAAACGTGGCTCGCGGGGGCGAGGAAGGAAAGGTTCGGATGAGGATTCTCCTAAAAAGAAAAAGATGAAAAACAGGTTTGTCTTATCTTTTAATATAACCATCACCAATCATTTTTAATTGTTTAGCTACAAATACGTAACAGTCCATGCGGACGATGGCAAACGCAGAGAATCTCCTCTGAATGGTGCTTGTTGTCACCTGTGAATTTTTTTTCTTCTGATCACACGAAACGTCCGACTCGCAGCCCAGACTTGAGCGACGCCCTGCTGCCCATGCAGCCGTCAGACGTGCTGGACATGCCGGTGGACCCCAACGAGCCCACCTACTGTCTTTGCCACCAGGTGTCGTACGGGGAGATGATCGGCTGCGACAACCCCGACGTAAGCTCTCGTGTGACGAAATGCTGACCAATCCCACCCGTTGTGAGCCGTGTTTATCGCATAGAATCGACGGAAGACCTAAAACTCTTTGTCGCATGTCGAATTTTTCGTTGCCAGTGTCCCATCGAGTGGTTTCACTTCGCCTGCGTCGACCTCGCCACCAAGCCCAAAGGAAAATGGTGAGGAAGCGGTAAATCGTCTTGCCCTCGTTCGTTTTGATACTCAAGCTTCTTGTCTCGCCCTTCAGGTTTTGTCCGCGATGCACTCAAGACAAGAAGAAGAAATAAGAAGAAATACATTTATGATATTGCGGTAGTAAAATAGTGGGATTATATCCAGAAATCTATATTTTCGCTCCTGTTTGTACAAGCTTGCTTCTAACGACTCAATGTGGATTTTGGGAGTGTCGCTACTACGGGTGTAACGGTACAGCAAAAATCGTGGTTTGCCAACGACCTTGGCTTAAAGGTCACGTTTCGGTTCACATTGATTACGGTAAGGGAACAAAATACACCGTCTGAAAGTGCTTTTCTTTTGGGTCAGCAGGGAACATTTTTAATGGCTGAAAATCAAACGTAAAAACTGCAAACTGTTCGCAGTAAATCCTCCCAAGAAATGAAACAATCCCAAATCAGTACGTTTTAAATTAGCATTGAAAAATATAGAACAGCTTGCAGCCACACCATTTTGATTTT